TTTTTTTTTTTTTATTTATTATTTATTATGTATATGGAACAGGACGCCAGATCTCATTACAGATGGTTGTGAGCCACCATGTGGGTGCTGGGAATTGAACTCAGGCCCTCTGGAAGAGCAGTCGGTGCTCTTAACCTCTAAGCCATCTCTTCAGCCCCGAACCTTTCTTATAGAACATCTGACCTGACATCCTCCCCTGATCTCCAAGTGCACAATGCATCACATACACATCCACAAAAAGAAACCAAGATTTACTCAAGTTTGTTTGGAATTGGACTGAAAACCATGATCCAAGCAACCAGAGGTCATTAAAAAGTTCCAAAATGAGGCCCAGTGGCACAGATTTGTAATCCCAGTTACTCAAGAGTTCAAGGCCTGTCTGGGTTACAGAAGTTCAAGGCCAGCCCAAGCAACTTAGTGAGATCCTAGCTCAAAATAACTAAATAAATAGTAAATAACTGAGTGTGTGTGTGAAGATACAGCTCAATGGTAGAGCCCTTCCCTGGGTTCAGTTCCTAACACTTCAACACAAGCTCCGGGCTGTGAGACGGCACGGCACCGAGTTGGTAAAGCACTTGCTGCCAAGCTCAGCCATCTGAGTTTAATCTCCATAACGCATAGGTTAAAGGAGAGGACCAATTCCTTCAAACTTTTTATTTCCATACCTGTGCATGACATGTGTGTTCCCACACACATTTACATACAAATAAATCAGTGTAATAAAAAATAAGTTCCAATTCAGTTTACAGATCTGCAAATCAAGACCACACTATTGTATGGCTAGATAAGTCAAGTGACATTATTCTAATGTTAGACCTTCTTCACCAAAAGCAATGGCTAGGTTGTGGAGAGAACTCCAGTAAGAAAGAACCAAACTCAAAGGCTAACCTGAGTTACTCTGAAGTCAAGCTTGGATGCCAGCCAACATTGGAGTCCCTCAAAGAAACCAATACATTTCCTATAACCGATGTTCCCAGGCTCATCTCCCAAAAGGCCTTCTGGGTCTCAAGCCAGAGATCCCCTGCTTGCTGTTAGTTCTCTGTACTCCCCACAGCTTCTCCTGGCTTACTGAACTTGAATGTTGTTCAACCTCTCAGGTTCTGAAATCTCCATGGGTTGGGATATTCTAAATACCCACATGGCTCAGGGACCTACAGGGGACGAGAGGCACTCCTGACACGGCAAACAGAAACCCACGCTGCTTTACAAGAGGAACCACATCACTGGCCTTTGTCCCACAGCACCTAGGCCCAATGTGCCATGCCAGCAATGAAGGCGGGGACCTAAGCTTGCACACATGCAGCTTTTCGGGGGTCTTCCATTTTGACAATCTCATTTACTGTCGCTGTCTGAAGCTCCCTCTCTTGCCAGATTCTGAAGGGGTCTGAAATCCCACAGTATCCTGGGAGTCGCTCCCTCACAGGCTGGACGGCAAAGAGTGACTCCGTGACTGCACGTTTGACTGTCTGAGGGAATTCAAGCGTGGGTGATCCTCGTGGGCAACAGGAGGCCGTAAGGATACAAAAGACCTCAGGTGCACGGAATCTCCGAACAAGACTTCAAGCAAATAGTCACTACTTCTATGCAGGTCTAGGGCTGGCTGCTACAGAATTCGACTTGTCATGTCGTGGACTTATCGCTCCCAAAGAGCCTGGAACTGTGCTTTTGGTCTGAGGAACAGTCAGGCCTTCAAGGCCTACCCTGCGAAGTGTGCACTCGGGACCGAGCTCCTGCCTCCCCAACTCGGAGGCTGGGACCGAGTTTCCCGCCCCGCGGCCCGACCAGAGGTTGGTGACAGTTGAGGAAGCTGGGACCGGCCCCAGCAGGTTGGAACCGGTCTGGGCCGAGCTACAGAAGGAAGGGGGGGGGAGGGAGAGCCAGCCTCGCGCTCTCCCTGCGCGCGTGACTCACGCTGGCCGCTGACGTCAGGCGTGCGCGCGCGGCGGGGGGGGGCTCTACGTACGTGTAGTGCTGCGGTTTCTCGGGCTGTGCCTGCAGCACCTGAGCGGTAGCGGCCGGGGGCGCGGAGGAAGCTGCCGAGCCGCCGGGCCCGGGGCCCTTCGACATGGTCCTGTCTTCCTGCCTCTTCGCCGCTCCCCTTTTATTATTCAGTCTGCGCGGTCCGCGCCGAAGACCCACAGCGCCTGCGCCGCGCCACGAGAACGTGAAGACCCCCCGCACGGCAGCAAAGATTGCTGGGAGTTGTGGTCCTCCTTTCCGCTGAAATTTTACCGTTGGCACAGGGTCGCTGCCAAAGCGCAAGACCACAATACCCAGGGATCTTTGCGGACCGTGTCCCGGATGTACAGGACCCGCGATGGCTTGTGGTAATTGTAGTCTAGTCACGCTTACTATTACCAGTGCGTTTTCAGTGGAGTAGGAGGAAAGCTCTTCCTTTAAACTGGAACCTTGCGAGCCAAGAAGCCGGTTAGGGAGGACCTAAACGACGCCACCGAGAATGTTCCAAGTGTAATTACACTGCTTACGTGCAGTAATTACCTTGTCTCCTTACCAGTACAGTTTGCGCATGGTTTCTAAAGTCCGCCTAGAGTATTGCCTCCAAGCAAGCAGGTTTGTCAGCCAAGGTCTTCGTGAGATGGTAGTAACCTGTAAATCACCAGAGAAAGTATGCCGCCTGGCAGACAGCTTTAGGAAGCTTTAATCAAGAAGAGTACACTACACCATATTGTTCCCGCGCCTCATTAACATTTACCAACCCTGAAACCTGGACTCCTTCTGAACTCAGTGGCTGGCCCAAACACCTTGTTTCCAGTACCTTAAGGTCCAAGGTGAATTTAATCTCTATGTACAGTAGTCTCTTAGGTACACTGGTAAATTGTTAAGAAGCATCGCGGTAGACTCCATATAAAGGGCCAGGGTCTGAGTAAGGAACGAGTTATAATCCACTCAGGTTTCATGTTCTGGAAAAAGCTTTTTGTTTGGGAAAATACAGGGTTTCACATTTAGGCATTTGGTTTTATGAAATGATCTTTGCAGGCTGAATATAGTGGCACATGCCTAGCGGCGGGAATCACCAAGTTCCAGACTAAACTGGGCTACATACTGAGACCCTATCTCAAAAAACAAGAGCGGAGTGACACATGCCTTGATCCCAGGTCTCAGGAGGCAAAGGAAAGTGGATCTCTGTAGGTTCAAAGTCAGCCTGGTCTACTTAGTTAGTTGCAGGTCACCCAGAGCTATGCTCTGTCTAAAAACCACACCAAGAACAATAAAAAGACAGGAGTGAGTAGGTGAGTCAGGGGTAAAGTGCTTTCTTTGCAAGGCTGTAACCTGATTTTGATCCCTGGAACTGTTTGTGAAGGTGGAAGGGGAGAACCCACCCCACAAAGTTGTGCTTTGGCTTCCCCATAGGTGCACACTTGCCCCTCTCACATACACATCATGCATACACAACCAAGTAATAAAAATGTCCATTACAGGGATATGTAATACTTTCTGTTTGACCTTGTTTTCTTTTTCTTTCTTTTCTTTTTTCTTTTTAGATTTATTTACTTATTATGTATACAGAAGAGGGTGCCAGATTTCATTACAGATGGTTGTGAGCCACCATGTGGGTGCTGGGAATTGAACTCCGGACCTCTGGAAGAGCAGTCGGTGCTCTTAACCTCTGAGCCATCTCTCCAGCCTGACCTTATTTTCTATATTCAATATATTTCAAATTAATTTTCTTTTATTTGGAATCATATTTTTGTTGTTGTTTTTGCTTTGTTTAATTTATTTAAATTTATTTTATTTGCATTGGTGAGAGGGTGTCAGATCCTCTAGAGCTAGAGGTACAGACAGTTGTGAGCTGCCATGTGAGTGCTGGGAATTGAACCTAGGTCCTCTGGAAGAGCAGCCAGTGCTCCTAACCACTGAGCCATCTCTCCAGCCCCTGTTGCTGTTGTTTTTGAGGCAGGCTCTTTCTGTGTAGTCCTGGCTGGGTTTAAACTTGATACATAGATCAGGTTCCATTTAAACTCAAAGAGACCTGACTGTCTCTGGCTCCCAAGTTCTGGGATTACAGGCCTGCACCCCCAAACCTGGTCAAATCTGTTGTTTTCAAAACTTATTTGTTTTGTTAAATGAGATTGTATTAGTTAATAATGGTCTATTAAAGAAATGCATCTGGGCTGGGATGTAACTTAGTTGGAATAAGTATGCGTAAAGTCCGATTTCAGTCTTCAGCACCAAATACACCTGTAATTCCAGCACTTAGACGAGATGGGAGTGGGAGGGTCAGGAGTTAAGATGCCTCAGCTGTAGTGAATCCAAGGCTAGGTCTACATAGCAAGAACCTGTTTAGAAAAAAAGATGGGCAGTGGTGGCACACCCCTTTAATCCCAGCACTTGGGAGGCAAAGGCAGGCGGATCTCTGTGAGTTTGAAGCCCACCTGGGCTACACAGTGAGTTCCAGGAAAGGCGCAAAGCTACACAGGAAAACCCTGTCTCGAAAAGCAAAAACAAAAAAACCACCACCACCACCAACAACAACAAAAAGAAATAAAGAAAAAGAGGGCCAGTAAGATAGCTCAGGGTTAAAGGTACTTGCTACCAAGTCTGAGATCTCAATTTGATCCCTTGCATGGTGGGAGAAGAGAACAGGTTCCATACTTGTACCACGGCACAAAAAAATAAATATAACTTTGAACACCTTTTTGTTTGTTTTTCTTTCTTTTTTTTTAAAAAGATTTATTTATTTATTATGTATACAGCATGTATGACTGCAGGCCAGAAGAGGGCACCAGATCTCATTACAGATGATTGTGAGCCACCATGTGGTTGCTGGGAATTGAACTCAGGACCTCTGGAAGAGCAGTCAGTGCTCTTAACCTCTGAGCCATCTCTCCAGCCCTTTTTTTTTGTTTTTTTGAGACAGGATTTCTCTGTGTAGCTTTGCTCCTTTCCTGGAACTCACTCTTTAGCCCAGGCTGGCCTTGAACTCACAGAGATCTGCCTGCCTCTTGTTTGTTTTTCAAGACTGGGTTTCTATGTATAAGTCTTGGCTGTCCTGGAACTCTCTTTGTAGACCAGACTGGCCTCGAACTCACAGAGATCCACCTGCGTGTGCCACCGACACCTGGTTTGAAACCCTTTTTAAAGAGAAAAGCTGGGTGTAGTTGTTTAATCCCAGCACTTGAACACAGAGGAGATGGATCTCTGTGAATCTGAGGCCAGCTTGGTCTATACAGAAAGTTTCAGGCCAGTTCCACTCTATAGTGAGAATCTCTCTCAAAAGAAATGGGGAAGCCAGGCAGTGGTGGCGCACACCTTTAATCTCAGCACTCAGGAGGGAGAGGCAGATGGATCTCTGTGAGTTCGAGACCAGCCTGGTCTACAGTGTGAGTTCCAGGACTACACAGAGAAACCCTATCTAAAAAAAAAAAAAGAGAGAGAGAGAGAGAGAGAGAGAGAGAAGCAGGGGGTGGAGCAGGGAGTGAAAGCTCATTTCCAATAACCTGAAGGGTAAGAGAGGGTGGGGCGAATGGAAATTGTTAGTATTCAAGACTGACACATGCTTTTTTATTTAGTTCTGACGAACTGGTGATTCCTAAACAGGCGAAGTCAATTGTTTTGCCGCTAGAGCTGTTTGAAGGTAAAGGATTCCAAAAGGACAAATAGAAATGAGAATGAATTGCTTTATTCTTATGATTGAATCCAAAGAATTGGCTTGCATGTTGTCCCTGAAGTCAAGTGTGAAGTCACTACAGAAACTACATCTCATAGACTTAATTTTTTTTTTTTTTTTTTTTTTTTTTTTTTTTT